AACAGACAAGAATTAGTTGTTAAAAATTTTTATAATCATCAATATAAAAATAATAGTTACTTTGGTTGATTATCAATATGAATAAGAGCAGGTAATAGAAATGCAAGTGTTTTTCCAGTACCAGTCTAATAATAAGATATATGAAGAAAATATAAACACTTTTATAAATCAATAAATACCTGTGCAATACCAATAAAATCATGACCTTGTAAGGCAACAGGCCATGCTTGACATTGTATAGGTGATGGTTCAGTAAAACCTTGTTTAGCAATTTCATTCATAATTTCATGATAATTATGAAAAGCATGAGCAAATTCATAGATTGGATTTGGAATAGTTAATTTACAATTGTATTTTTGTTCATAATCATCTTTCAATGATGTATCAAACCATGTAACAACAATATTATTTTTTTCCGCACATAATGCTTGAACATCTTCGGTAGACATTTCAGCTATATCAGATAGTTCAACATAAAATTCTTTAATAACTGGTGGAAAATCTTTCCATTTTGTCATATCATTTGTTGTATCAGTACGACGCATTTTAGCCCAATCCACACGTTTAGTTATATCAGAATTATTTGTATTCCATGTTGAAGCTGGAGGAAAAGCAGAAGTTATATTATATTTATCTTGTTTAATTTTATGATCATTTGATCTTTCTTCATCTGAACCAAACAATGCATTATAATCATCATCTTCCGCATCAGCTGGAGCAAAACGACGATTCGATGATTTTCCGAATTGCGAACGAGAGGATGAAGATACATTTGTATCTCGATTGTTTGATAAACCTAATAGAAAATTAGTTTTTGTTTATTTTATTTCGATGAATCATTATTAAAACATGAAAATAGAATAGTTTAGTGTAACCATCAAACAACTTATTTAAATCTCATTTTAGATAATCTTGAACAAAGACTACAACTATTTCTAATGATAAATAAAATAATCAAACCTGTAAATTCTCTACCATGAGAATTGAAAGTATGATTAGCACTATGAGAATAAGTATTATCACCATTTCGAATATTATTTTGATTTGTCATTGAGAAAAATCCATGTGTATCTCTTGATGTGTGTTCATTTGTTTTCGAAAATGAAAATGAATCTGTATTCTTTGTAACAGAATCTATAAAAAGAAAATCATCAATAAGAATCAACAACGAAATAATTGAATCAATATAATATAACCTATTTCCATGGATGATTTTGATTGAAAAGATTCATTCTTCTCTTTGATTGTACCTACAAGATTTTTAATACGATTAAAAGCATTTTTAATAACTTGATCATTGGATCCTGAAATAATTAAATCAACCCATTGATTTTGACGATCATTGGAAACTTTAATTTGTACATCATTCTCTCTTTGTATTTGTTTAATAGTTTCACCACCTTTGCCAATCAATCGAGGTACATCGTTGCTATTAATTAAATAATCATATGAAACTCTTTGTCCTAAATTAATATTATTGTTACGATTAAATTTATTTAATGGACGTTGAAAATCTTGAGAAGAACGAGAAGAATGATTATTTTTTGGATCAAACGATTGTGACCTGAAAAATACAAATTTAATATAAATAAAAACAAAAATTTTTACAAATAATTCAACCATTGTTTTGTATTATTTGTTTTCTTTTCATCTATTTCAACATCCCAATCTTCACTTGTACGTGGAATATATGTTTGAGAATGATTATGCTCATTAGGATTATTATCAAAACGAAAACTATTTGTATTTGTGTTGTTGCGAATAGAATTTGAATTCGTAAAAGTTCGAGTTGGAACTAATATTTAAATTTATTTATTTATTTTTTTTTAAATGAAAATTTTAACTCACATCGATTATCAGCCATATTATTATCTCGTTGATGATCAATATCACTTTTAATATCTAGAATAGTCACGTATGAAATTTATATTTAATTTTAATCTAAACATTTATAAACATCAGGTAGAACAAAAATACCCAAATAATGACACATCTTTCTTTCCCATAGTAGTGGAAGAGAACAAAAAAAAAAAAAAGAAAGAATTGTTTTTCTTTCATCTATAGTACAACTTTCTTCAGGTGTAGTCCAATTTTTCTTGAATTATAAATAATAATTCATGTCATTTTTTTGAAGAAAATTATCATAGCTACATTTCATATAGCCATCAATAAAAACAAAATTTGTTAGTGCAGTCTCTTTATAATTGGCATGTGAAACTCATATATTCTGTTTTCGCTAGCAGATAACTTCGTATAAATCATTTTCTTATGTAATAAAATATACTTTGAAGTTTGTAACAAGTGAAGTGAAAGAATAAAAGATATATTTGCTTGTTAATAATAATCAACATTATTAACAAAATATCGAAATGATTTGTTTATAAATCGTGTTTGATATGATTTAAGTCTTGTGGGTGTTTTAATATACACAATTAACTACAACATTGATAAATTTAGGATAACGAATTGATTTTCTTTTCCATCAAAATTACAATATTTTTTGTTTCTATGATATAATGAAGACAAATATACGAGAACAGCTAAAATGAATAAACTAATAAATACATAATATGATATTTTTGATGAATTGAAATAGTTACTAACAGATACTACAGCACGAACTATGATAAGAAAAAAAAAACATTCTCTCATTAGTACCAGTGGCATATATTAGCACCATAATTCTACGTTCTATCCTTTACGTGCTTCTCTGTTTAATATTAAATTTTCAACCAATATTGTTCGTTATGCAAATCTCTTACTTTTGTTCTTGGGTAACTACAATTGAGAGCAGTATTACGACGAGTGATTAATATCTATAATTGCTGTAGCAATATATTCAATGGCTTCTACTCTCTTCCTAATATCTGAAATGAGAAGCCGTGAAATTTCGACTTAACAATTACACTCACTATTTTCTTTGAGAATATATGTGAGTTCCACAAAAAAGTCTTTCAATATAAATTCATTTTTATATTTCTGTTGGCGACTAGAATTCCATTGGGAAATACGATTGCCAATGTTAAACATAGTGATTAGATCACTAGATTTTAAAAACTTGACGATCCTTCGCGTTTTTGAAGATATGACGAACTTGATTGATGTCAGGGCACATGATTAGGATGAGGAAGCTGAGAAATTCTTCTCATAGATTTTTTCTTGCGCACAGCTTTTCTTTCTAAAAATTTTTGTCAACTGTTGTTTAGCGGATTGCTTAATTTTTCATAGCATAAATGTCAGAAAAATGTTCAAAAGAAATATCCATTTTCTCTAAATGGCAAAGCTTTATTTGAAGATTCCATGGATAATGAGCTGTTTTTAATACAGAAATTTCTTTTCTACAGTTTTCAAAGAGAACTAGCCACTTTCTTCCACAGAAAGAAGACTTTCTTTGTTCTGCGCGTTAGAATTGGGCAAGTACGAACTTTCTCGAATATGAATACAGCTAGAACTGCACTCGAAAACGAAAATTTTTAATACAATTCATTGGAAACATGTGTTCAACGTCATGATAGTATTTATTGTCGAACACTAATGGATGAACTTTTAAATAAGATCGAGATCAAAAGAAACTAGCTGTCTACTTCAAGTTCGGAGCGTAGAAGTAGATATCTAGTGTCATTTTCATGTAACATATTTTATCTAAAAGGACGAAAACAGATAAGACCACTTTCCAGTTCTTAAAATAGTTAAGTATTTCTATGATCAAAACAATCTAGTGGTGAAATTCGATAATATTGCAAAGTATTATTTCGCAACGCTCTCCGATCAATTGTTCGCGTCAGATCCGTCCTTCTTTACGAAGTCAAGAAAAATCTGATCATCCCTCTAGAAGGAATAGGTGTAACTTGAACAATTGATCGAGAGACGATGCTAAATAAACCGTCACAGTGCTATTAGGAGCATAGTCTATCAAGTTTGAGTTCAGATACTCTTGGATCTGTTAGGCTCTACCCACAAAACATCAATCAATTAGGTCCGAACCCAACAATTTTGATCGGTCTGGTCTGGATCCCACAAATTTTAATCAGTTGGATCTGGATTCGAAAATTCCTGAACCCGATGGACTCAAATTAGATGCTGTCTTTGATATGATTTCAATGTAACAAGCTTGATATATTTTGCAGTTGGGAAAACAGCCTCAACAGTTCTCAACTTATAGAGTGCTTGACATTGAAATAGGTCTGCGACTACTAATCCCTCAAATATGAGTAAAAGTACAGCCAAAATGTATTTGAGTACGAATAATTCAAGTACTTCGTCCATCTCCATTGTGAATACTTTCTCCTTGAAGTTTTTCTCCTCCTGAATAAAACCAAACGATCGCTCTAATTAATATGATTTCGCTATTTGCGCAATACTCGTTTTTTTTTAACCTTAGATAAATAATATTCAAACTTTTCTAATCTTCTTATTTTAAAACATGTCCTTTATGATTAGATCATCTCTTCTTTGATCAAAAAAAACATGTATATATATTATGACATGTAATAGACGAAAAAAAAGAATACAATCAATACCAAAGCTATACTAAATTTTAGAATGAATAAAAGACGATGTTCCTAATCACAAGATGAAAAATATAGCGGGATTTAACTTTTTTTCTCGTATTTTTTTTTTACTTTAAAGAAGATAGATCAAAATAAAATGAAAAAAGAACTAAAGTCTAGAGATCTTGGTTAACAATCATCATTCTATATTATGTCTATTCAGACCTTAACACCGGTCTTTCGTACTCAACGCTTTTAACTAATGTCATGAAGATAGAAGGAAAGAAACAAAAAAGAATACGAAACATCGAACAAATCCATCAATTGAAAATTCTATGAATTGTTCTAGTATAACAAAAAAAATCACTACTTGTCACATACAAAGAAAAAAAAGACATAATAAAGAAACAGAAAAATTAGCCGTTGCACAAAAGAAAAAAATTAACAAGGAAGAAAAAAAATAGATTCAGTCTATATCTGACGTTTAATTTCTTTTATTTCTCACAGGATTTATTTTTGATCAACAGCAACTATTGTTGTTTCTTGTTCACTAGTAGTTAAATCTTTTTTTTCTTCTTGTTCATCAACATTTGTTACTTCATCAGTCTATTGAATATAAAATAAGAATTTAGACTTAATTTTATATTAAACATTAACCTTATTATCTTGAACATCTTGTGTTGTTTTAATTGTTAAATCTTTTTCATCATTTGATTGTATTATTGATGATATTGATGTAGTAAAAATTCGTGATTTATTTGGTCGATTTCGTCCAACAAGACGTTGTTGTTTTCTAACTGCATTTTCTTCTGAAGAAATACGAATTTTTTCTAATTTATCAAGTAATGAATCAAATAATTCTTTTGATGCATCATCTAATGCATGATAATATTGTTTTTGTATCCAAAAACCATCATCTGTTGTACAATCAATTTCTTTTGTTTCTGGACATGTACGTTTAGATTTATGTCGTGGTGAAACAGAAGAAGAATTTGATGATGATGAACCACCATATTGTTGATATTGATTATCGTTTGATGTTCGAGTTTGTATATTGCTTGCATTATTAAAATCATTGACTTCTCCTGGACGTTTATCTGTTTTACGTGAAGCTGATGTAGGCTGATGAGTAAAATCAAATGATGGAGTATTTTGAAAATTATATGCTGGTTGAGGTAATTGACTACCATTACCAAGATGTAAAGGTGTTGTCATAAAACCTTAAGATAATAAATAAACTAAAGGTATACCAAAAATTAGTGACTATGATACTTTAATTCCTTATAAAAAGATTAAAGAAATTTTCTCTCGATATTGACTGATAGTAAAAACAATACTCTGTTCTTCTGCGCTATTATATCATTCTTCAATCAATATCATAATAGTAAAATTTCAATAAGATCTGTTTGGCTGTCATGTATGATGGTTACATTAGTTCATATTGTTTTCCATATGTATTCTCTTTTTGAAAATCTAACCGTCTATATATATATGTAAAAACAAAGCATGTCTTTTTGGCATCTATAATTTATTAGTGTATTCTGAAGAACATTAGAGAAATAAAGTTAAGTGAAACCTTGAAATTGTTTGTTTCAGTTTTATATGACTAAGAAAAATTTTCACTTCTACATTAAAATGTACACTGTACTTAATATTCAAGCAAGAGTTATTCATGATAAATTATGTTCTGTTTGCATCGACGAAGCTTTTTGTCTTAGAACAGTCGAAAGATGATCTGTCTTATTGAAATTTTACTATTATCATATTAGCTGAAGAATGACATAATAGTCCAGAAAAATCAAGTATTGTTTTTATTATCAGTCAATATAAAAGAAGAAGTTTCTTGATGGTTTTTATAAGAAACTGAAGTACCATTGTCATTATTTTCTATATTACATAAGTATTTACCTATTTCTTTATGATTTTGAGATATATCAGATGATGTTGTGAATGATATTGATTGTTGATGTTCTTGTTCTTGTTCTTGTTGATAAAGATTATTTGAAAAACCCTGTTGATGAAAATATTCTAAATTTTGATTAGGTACTGGAAGTTGTAGTTGATCATTTTGAGGTGAATTTTGAAATGGTGATGTTTGTGGAGTATCAACATATTGAGCATCAAATACTTGCATAGCTTGATCATCTTCATTTCTTAAATAACCACGAATTATATCAAGAGCAAAATTAAGATTACGCGTTTGATATGCAGATAATGTACATTCAACATAACCATTTTCATTTGGATGACGAGCAAAAAAAATATCACGTAAATGACATTTTGATTGTATACGTCTTAAATTAGAACCTCGTGTACCTTAAAATAGAAATTTAACAGAAAAAAAAGAAAATAAAAACAAAAAAAAAATAACCAATTAAATATTTAACTTACCAATAATACGTGCAGCACAATTACTTCGAATAAGAATAACTTGTTCAAATGCACCATAACGACCACGATTAAAAAAGGTTCGTTCATAATAATGATTAAATGGTGATGATTGCACCGGATATTGAGATGGTGATTGACGATAACTATTATTATAATCATGACGACGTTGTTGATGATAATCATTGTTATTGTTATTATTATTATTTGTTTTTGTACGTTGATAATTATTATGATCAGTAATTGTTTGTTCTTCATCTATTAAAAACAAAATATTTTTATTTTATTTATACAAGAATTAAGTCATTTACCTTTGTATGGTTGAATAGGCACACCAAGAACATCATTAATAAATGCTGTTATTTGTAGAGCAGCATCAATTATATTTTCATATAAATCACCAGTAATTGAAAGTTCATTTTGCCATTGTTTATCACCGAATTTAGACAATTTTAAAGGCTAGAAAAGAATACCAATGATAAAAATTAGGTATCTTAATTGAATAAATGTTCAATAGATTTATAAAAGATTCTAGAATCAATATACAAGTATAGGAATAGTTTTTACAACTAACTAAGGCAATTATTTTTTCCTTCGATGAAAAAGAACGTTTCTATCGTTCTCAGTAAAATAATGTAGAATAATATTACTCTTCCATAGACAAGCAGCTAGATTGAGTGTTGAAATCATGACAGCGAACTGTAAATCTATTAGTTATGAGAACATTTTATAGTCTTTTAAAAAGTATGTATCTTTTTCTTTGTTAGGTAATTTTGAATGTTTGCGAATATGTTTTAGTTGAAATGGTTAATAAATGGATCTTCTATTAAAAACATAAGTTACTTAGTGGAATTATTAAGACTTAGCCGACTCTCAATCAGTTTTATAAGAAAAATTTTTTCAAATAATGAGATCTTGCACTAAACTATAGTTTTCATCATAATGAAACTTTCATTTTTCTGAAATGGATTACTCACTGCTTTGAAAAATATCTTCTCTACTTTCGATTGAGCAGCGACGAATTTTTTGAACTGATAATTATGAAGACGCTAATTAACATGAATCTAACCAAAGATCAATTTGAATTAATTCCTTCGTATTCAATACGGAGAAGTATCAGAGATCAGTTAAAAGATCTATAATTCTTTAGACATCAGAAGATCATTTATAATGTTTCTTATACAAGATTCATTATTTCAAACTTTTTCTCCCAATGTTATCAATTTTATCTATTAGATTTCTGATAGAAATATATATATGTATGTATTCTTCTCACATTTGTCACGGTAACATTTAAACGTTGTTGTAATGATCCAGCAAAAAAATTCCAATTTTCTATAGTAGATAGAAAAAAAATTAAAAAGTAAAATATATATATACTCATAGAAAATCTTTACTTTTAAGTACTTCTTGTCCCTGACTTGTTATAAGCATGACAAATGTATATTCAGGTTTTCGTTCAAGTGGTATAAATTTAAATTGTTCTTGTTCAATATTATCATCCTTAGTATCAGCCTTCTCATCATTCGTATTCAATGTTGAGGGTGTAATAGGCTTATTTTCTTCGTCAGTCGATGAATCTGGATTAGTTGTTGTTGTAATGGCCGATGTTGATTGAGAGGAAGATTTATCATCAGATTTCTCATTATCTAAACAAAACCCTTAAAAAAATGAAAAACTTTTTAAGATACTATTCACACCTGTTGAAACTTGTGTTCCATGAGTTTTTTCAATATTTATTGTAGGAGTTTGTTGATTATTATTTTCAGTATCATTTTGAATAGTTGATCGATGAAAATGTTTAAACATTCGATTCATTATATCAATAAGACATTTTCGTACATTAGCTTCTGTACCGAGAATTTTGAATGAATGTTTTGTAGGATTTTGATAACCCGGCTAAAAGAAAAAGAAAACAAAAAAGAAAATATTAATTACAAACTAAACTGTAAACATTTACAAATATTTTCACATTAAATGTATTCGCAATGGTGTGTAAATTAGAATTTTCTTCTATAAACAAAAAAATAAAATAAAATTATAAAGAAAAAAAAAAATCTTTTATTTTTGTTTTAGATTTATACCTTCATTTCGACCTAGAAGGTTTCGTTTCTGTCGATGATCAGTTAAAAAACGAATATTGCAAAAATTTTTATCAGATATTTGATAATTATTATACTTTTCCATAAGTTTTTCTCGATCACCTTGTTCAGTTGAATAACGAATATCTTGTGGCAATGATATTCGACGTGTTGTTTCTTGTTCATTTGAAATAATTAAATCATTTGAAATTTTATTTTCTGATGAAACAGATTTTTCGTTTATATTTAATTTTTCAATATTTTCATTAGTATTTAATGTTTGATTTTCATTAGTAGTTTGAATGTCAGAATTTTCAGAAACAATTTTTGTCTCAGATGATTGTTGTTCTTGATTGTTCATGGTTTAAAATCTATGAGGAAAGAAAGATGATAAGAAATAAAAAGATGATTTGTGATTGTTGTTGTTGATTTGTTAAAAAAATTAAAATATATGGGAAGAAAAACTAGGTGAAGATTGGAATAATTCCAAATACAAAAAGAAATTTTTCTATAAAGATTTACTGAAGATTTACGTCATATTAATTTTTTCCTGGTTTATACAAAATAGTTTCTCAGAAATAACACGAGATAAAAATCTTGATAGATGGCAGTGTCTTGCAATAATAA